AATTTGGAACATTTTGGGGAGATTTGGAGCATTTTTGGGGCATTTTGGGGAGGGTTTGGGACATTTTCAGGGGGTTTGGGAATTTTTTGGGGGGGTTGGGGTATTTTCAGGGGAATTTTGGGGGGGATTTGGGGCATTTTGGGGAGGGTTTGGGACATTTTTTGGGGGGTTTGGGAATTTTTTTGGGGGGTTGGGGTATTTTCAGGGGAATTTTGGGGGGGATTTGGGGCATTTTGGGGAAGTTTGGGGACAGTTTGGAGCAGTTCGGGGCAGTTTTGGAGCAGTTTGGGGACAGTTTTGTGCAGTTTGGGGCGGTTTGGGGACAGTTTTGGAGCAGTTTGGGGCAGTTTTGGAGCAGTTTGAGGATAGTTTTGGGCATTTTGGGGCAGTTTGGGGACAGTTTGGAGCAGTTCGGGGCAGTTGTGGAGCAGTTTGGGGCCAGTTTTGTGCAGTTTGGGGCGGTTTGGAACAATTTTGAGCACTTTTGGGCCCGTTTGGGGCGGTTTGGAACAATTTTGAGCACTTTTGGGCCCGTTTGGGGCGGTTTGGAACAATTTTGAGCACTTTTGGGCCCGTTTGGGGCGGTTTGGAACAATTTTGAGCACTTTTGGGCCCGTTTGGGGCGGTTTGGGGACAGTTTTGGGCATTTTGGGGCGGTTTGGAACAATTTTGAGCACTTTTGGGCCAGTTTGGGGCGGTTTGGGGACAGTTTTGGGCATTTTGGGGCAGTTTTGAGCAGTTTGAGGTGGTTTTGGGCATTTTTGGGGACAGTTTTGAGCAGTTTGGGGCGGTTTGGGGACAGTTTTGAGCAGTTTGAGGCAGTTTTGGAGCAGTTTGGGGACAGTTTTGGGTCCAGTTGTGTTCCTGCTCCAGCTGTGCCCCCATTCTGGATCCAGCTGTGCCCCCAGGCCCCGCCCCCTGGATCGCTTTGGCCACGCCCCTTCATCAGCGCATCTTTATACCCCGCCCTCACACGAAGCCACGCCCCCTCCCTCAGCTCAGCCAATCAGAGCCTCTCCCCAGCGCTCGGCCCCGCCCATGGGGCGAAGGCGCGTGGGCGTGGCCTCATCCCTTCGGCGACCAATGGCAGCGCGCGTCTCTCGCAGCCAATGGGAGGCGGCGTCTCTGCGGGGCGGAGGGAACCGGAGCGGCGGCCGG